CGTGGAAAGCTCTGGACAAAGCTGAGAACAGCCGAGGGACAGGAAAGGGAAACCACTTAACCTCTGCAAATGTTAGTAGAGGACTGGTTAAGGACCTTAAAAGAGTGGTCACTGTCATTCGCTTCCATTTACCTTTGCAAATCATCAGGCAGCTCCCCCCACATTTTTGGGAATATGTAACACTCTTTCTCTGTAGATAGTGTGGGCTATCCCATTTTTCTAAGGCTACTCTATTAAAAATCGGTTTGTCTTTCTTGAACATCCATTAGTTAACAATATATTAAATAATAGAATAATCTTATAGCATCTCAAGAGTTGACTAAAAATTTCACTGTTATCTGTATTAACGTTGTAGTTTATTTCTAGCAATATATATTGTATATATTGTACACTAAGTAGGCACAAAATACTAGGTGATGTGGAGAGTTAAATTTGAGTCCATGTGATTTAGATTTTCAGCCACCGGTGATGAAATATTTTGGTGTGGTCAGGTTTTACCCATCTTCTTCCATTCTCTCTGCACATAGCCAGTACCAATGATTTTATTCTTGTCTGTGATATAATTCTATTTTAGATGAATGATCTTTTATATTTGCTTTTATTTTCAAGAGAATTATTAGAACAAGTTGCAGAATTTGAAAAAGCAGAATTTATATCTTCAAATAAAAAGGTAATTTGGGGGTTATTCTAAATCTGTATCTTAACAATACCAGAAGTTACCCACTTCTCTTTCTAATCATTCTTCTTATTTGCAGTGACCACTTGCCGTTCCGTTTTATAGATGCACCCTAAATATTTCTTATTGTTGGATAAACACTGCTAAGATGAATCCATGTAGATACTCATATAAAACATTTTCCATTTATTCCTTTGTAACATATTTCTAGCCAAGAAATTATTGAGTCATCATGGATTCTTTTGTTTTTAATATTACTAAAGTGTCAGAACATTTTGTGCCAAGTTTTTCTTCTTCTCTAGTGCACTTGCCTAAGTCCTTGTCTATCTTGTAGTTTTTCACAGAGTCTAAGGTTCAGCCAGAAATCTCTGTTTCAGCTCCCACAGATTAAAATCCTAGTGTCTAAACACTAAGATTTATATCAGGTCTGGCTGTAGCTCCTTCCTTCCTTCCCTCTCTTCTTCCTTCATTTCCCTTGCTTCTACCTTTTTTTTTTTTTACAAGATACAGGAAGGATAGGTCTCATTTTTATCTCTAACATGTATTGGGCAGGACACATCCTAGGCACTGGGTTATAACAGAGAATAAAACCAACAAAAATCCTTATGCCCATGTAACTGACATCCCAGTGGATATGTTTACATACCCATATGGTGTCTTGCACTTAGAAAGCACAAGTGTTCAATGATTCTACATACATTTTTCCTATGGTGAGTTCAGCTTGGTTTCTTTTTTTTTTTCAGCCTATCATAGAGAGCATAAAGCCAAAACTTGTTCCACTTAACGAAGGTGGAACAGAACTCCTAAACAAGGTAATATCGTCATTTTGAGAAATGGGAAACCTCTAACTCTGTCTTTTCATTTCTGAACAACTTTAGAGTAGTGGAACAGAGATGAAAGGAGGTTAATTCAGGCTTTGGTCCACTGAAGGTAGTCAGTCTATCACAGTAGCCAGTGGTTCCCAGTGGGCCAGAAGAGGGCATACTTGTCTAGACTCGGAAACAGTTCTTGATTGCAACACCTTTCAAGGTCAGGTGAAATGCATGCAGTTTTGCACGGTGTTTATTATTGGTGGACATTTGCCTCCAATGAATGCAGTTTTGCACAGTGTTTATTATTGGTGGACATTTAAAGTTTGTGATCTATCATAACAAAAAAGGGGATTTTTAAAAAGAAGTTTATAGACATTATTTATTGGTACATGTTAAGTATACTCTATCTGAAATGCTTGGGACCTGAATTGTTTGGAATTTCAGATTTGGGAAGGTTTGTATTAGGTGTGCCTGACTGAGTATCAGATTTTGGACTTCAGACTTTTGGATTTGGTATGCACAACCTATATACAATAAATATTTTTTATAACTCCTGTATTCTCAATATCATGCTAGATGTTGTTAGAGATAAAAAGCAGTATAATACCTGGTCTCTTGCTCTCAAAAATATAGTAGTTTTATTGGGAAGGTAGAACTAATATTCTAAAAACAGATGCAGGAGAATACTCTCGTATGTGTTACCATCGTCATGGGGTAGCTGAGAAGACACAGTTCTATCTGGATGAGAGTGTGTGAGAACAAGCCCCTGGGTAAGGTAGTGCCCAGGTAGGGCCTTGAAGGGTGAAGACAGATTGAATTGTCAAAGGAAAGGAAACGTTAGACAAGAGGACAGAATGGGCAGTGGTCAGAGGCAGAAGACTGGCATGACTCAGAACAGATATAGTGCCCTCCGCCTGGGCTGGTATGTGTGTTGGAGCCCAGTGAAAAGTAAGACTGGATTGACAGGTGACTCTTGTGCCAGAGCTCCAGAAGAGCAAAGGCATTTGGCCTCAGCTCCGTCAGAACTATTTGGGGGCTTGAGCACAAGGTACTGAAAAAATGAGGATTATGTTTCCAGGGTAAGTGGCAGCAGTGTGCAGTGTCAGCTGAGAATAGACCCAAGAGTTGCAGGACCAGCTGGTGAGAGATGGCAGGGGAGGGAGTCTTTAGAAAAAGACTGAGAACACAAGGCTGAAGGAGGAACAGTGTGTCTGAGAACCTGAGAGAAAAGGAACTAGAAGTCTAGAGCCAAAGCTGGCTCATAGGTATTGAGGCTGGTAGACTGGGAAAGAATGGGATATTCGCCAAAATACTAATGGCACATTTTTGAACTATCATGTAATTCATCATCAATTAATTTATTGATTCATTTAAAAATCTAATTTTTAAATGAATCAATAATTTCAAATATCAAAAATACTTTGGTTAAAATAATAAGACCTTAATTTACTCACAAAGGAAATTTCAAGACTTCAAGAAGAGAATGAGAAATTGAAGTCAAGGTTGAAGACCATTGAAATACAGGTAACTGAGAAATCCTTTAACCAGATTATTAAAAGAATCACATACAGATTACATACTGAATGTGTTTTGTTTAAACATCATTACAGGCCACAAATGCATTGGATGAGAAGTCAAAACTAGAAAGAGCACTGCAAGATTTACAGCTTGATCAAGGAAATCAAAAGGTGAAGATAGTTTTAGCTCTCTTTTCGCATTTTCTGAGTAGAATGAAGTTATAAATTTTAAGTTTAAAATTAAGTCTTAGAAATTGTTCATTATACCCCAGTCCTGCTGCCCTCTGATTTAAATGCCACCATTGATGTGCATGGGGACATCCTTGCCCAGTAAAGGCCAGGTGAGAGCCAGTGCCCTCCCCTCCGCCCATCCTCCAGGGTGGAAGGGACGGATACACTGCTCACTCGCCAAACATGTCCTGGGATTTCCCCACCATGCAAGATATTCTTAAATTTACTTTTATGAAGTTTTCTCCCTTCCCCTTTTACTTTGACATCTGCTTACAGTGAAAGAAGGGAAATGATGAAAGGAAAAGTTTTAGTTAGTTGGAATTATATTAGACTAAACATGATGTCAGTTTGCCTCCAATGAATGACAAATGGAACGAATTTACTGCATACAAATCTTCAAATCCATCTCCACCTGGCAGCACTGTCCAGTACAGAGAGAGCTGGTGACGTCATCCTCCAGGCTGCCTGCGTGCATGTTGCTGTGCAGGCTGGGTAGAGCGTGTGTACAGTTTCGCCTCCTGTGGCTTTTCCATTGGGTGTGCTGTAATCCGTGTATGATTTCACGTGAATGAGACCATTTGGGTGACTTCACTGCAGCACTGGCTTTCCTAGTGGTGGTGCCATCATTGTAAAGTGTCTCCTGGACACTCCCAGGAATCTGCTTCATGGGGTTTTTGTTAAACTTCTTTCTGTGAAAATCAAACATACAAAAGTAGAGAGAACAGCATAACGAGCCCCGTCTACTCATTACTCATCTTTACTCGTCCTCGGTGCATGGCCAGTCTAGTTTCATCGGTGCCTTTCCTCTTCCCTCCGCCCGTGTTATTTAAACCTAATCTCAGATACTGCCCCTTTTTCATCTGTAGATATTTTTTAAGTTGGAAGATACTTCTTCTATGGCTAACAAAACCAAAGAAAAATATAATTTTCAACCATTATATGCCAAGGACCATAGATTTATAAAATAGAGCGGAATGACCCAGAAGGGTTTTATAATTTCTCAAAAGTAAAACAGTTGCACATTTTTGGATGATGAAATTGTTTTTAAAAAGCCGTTTTGGGTTTTGCTCCAATTTTGCTTTAAGATTTTAGACAAAAGCAAAATGGATATGTGCCTTCATAAGTTGCATTGAGATAAAATGTTTTTTTAAAGAGACCAGATTTCAAAAATGAGCAAGGATTTTTTTGTATTGTTGGAAGCACTGCTTCGTATTTACCACTTAGAGACCATTTTCCTGTCATATCAAAACAGCTCTTTTTTATCATGAATCTCATCCAGTCAAAAATGATATCCAGATAAAAATCCAGCTGTTATATTGTGCTGCAGTTGTCAGAGCATGAAAAATGTTCATTTTTTTTAATATAAACAACTCAAAAATCTTGTAAATTTAGAAAACCATATAATCAGCTATCATTGATTATGCTCTCATGTTTTTCTTATATGACTAAAACATATGTCTATTCAACTTTTGGTATACTGTATTATTATTTTTTCCCTCTATATCATTTTGAAAAATTTAAATTTTCTTTTTTTATTTTTTGCAGTTTTTGGCTGGGGCTGGGTTTGAACCCACCACCTCCAGCATATGGGGCTGGTGCCCTACTTTTCTGAGCCACAGGTGCCACCCAAAATTTAAAATTCTTTATCAGGATTCTTTTTTAACTTGGCTTTTCAAAATGAAACCTATCTGTCATGTCAACTCTGGCACACACAGTATTGTCAAATATAGAATCTCACCTCCCTCCATTCCTCTTGGAGTGGAATTCCAGCAGTTCACAAATCATATCTTACACATTTGGAATTTAGTAACCACTGAGTGTCTGCCATGTGCAAGATGCTATGCACCGGGGGCTGAGAACAGAGGTGCAGGCCTGAAAGGGCTGGCACTTACTCTGGCTGGTGAGGGAGGCTGGTGCACACACACATTTCTTTCATCTTCTGTGATATGGAATCTGAAAGAGTTGTGATTAGGATATCAACATGAAATTATATTCAGGCATTCATTTTTTCATAGGATTTTATAAATGCCCAAGACTTAAGTGACTTGGAAAACACAGTTGCTGCTTTAAAGAGTGAGTTTCAGAAGACACTTAATGACAAGACAGAAAACCAGAAGTCACTGGAGGAAAATCTAGCAACAGCCAAGCACGATCTGCTCAGGGTTCAGGAGCAGCTGAGAATGGCTGAAAAGGTCAGAAGACCGTGTTTGATGGATTTGTCTATTCCTGTCCAGTTAACTGCTGCACATGGTATAGAGGAACAAATGTGACTAAGATAAATGTTAGACAACTGCAAATTCAGATTACTTTTTCTTTTTTTTTTCTTTTTTTGAGACAAGAGTCTCACTACGTCACCCTCAGTAGAATGCCATGGTGTCACAGCTCACAGCAACCTCATACTCTTGGGCTTAAGTGATTCTCCTGCCTCAGCCTCCCAAGTAGCTGGGATTATAGGCCCTGCCACAACACCCAGCTATTTTTTTTTTATTGCAGTTGTCATTGTTGTTTAGCCAGCCCCACCACCCTCAGTGCATGTGGCCAGCGCTGTAACCACTGTGCTATGGGCGCCAAGCCAGATTACTTTTTCTTAATAGATCAGTCAACATATTTTCTAGAGATTGATATTTCTGGTCTCTGAGATTCTTCCATTTTTGGTATTAAAATATCTGTGATAATAAGAAATCTCCTCTCCTCCTGTGGGGTGGTGAAACATTCTGCTAGAGGCAGCTTACCTCCCACCCTGCATTCACCCGCCTGACTCTTCTGCTGCTGCTTCCTACAGCCTGCAAAGGGATGGGCGACTTCTCTTTTTTAAAGGATGTCTATGCCTTCTTCATAATTTTTATGTACTTGTATAGAGGTAGATTCTTCATTTTAGGGATGAGACTCTTAAGAATATGGAACTAGGTGGGCGCAGTGGCTCACTCCTGTAATCCTAGTACTTTGGGATGCTGAGATGGATGGATTGCTTGAGCTCAGGAGTTCAAGAGCAGCCTGAGTAAAAGCGAGACCCTGACTCTACTATTTCTTTCTGTTTTTAAATAGAAAAACTAACTGGGCATTGTGGCAGGTGCCTGTAGTCCCAATTACTTGGGAGGCTGAGGCAAGAGGATCACTTGAGCCCAAGAGACTGAAGTTGCTGTGAACTATGACACCACGGCACTCTACCTAGGGCAACTGTGTGAAACTGTGTCTCAAAAAACAAAAACAAACAAAAAATAATAATATGGAACTAAAATTTAATTAAATTAAAAATCTTCCTCCTAAAATACTTTGGGATTTGGAAAAAGATTGTGCTTATTTTACCTGAAAATTAGTTTAACATTTCAAGTAGATTTCCTATATATAGCACAAGTATGCTTGAGTTATTTGCTAACATTGTACTTTAGAAAGTGTTACTATTTTATTGGCTTCTCATTTCAAAGAATATGTTCTTAAAGTTTGGATAGTATTAACTGTATATATTTTTAAGGAAATTAGAAATAATATAAGAAAAATATTAGTAAAGCTAGAGCAAAAAATATATACTTTCCATCACATTTGTTCATTCTTTCCTTAACTTATTTTTTAGTAATGGGCTGACATTTTTCACTAAGCAGGAATTAGAGAAGAAATTTCAACAAACAGCAGCCTATCGAAACATGAAAGAGATTCTTACCAAGAAGAATGACCAAATCAAAGACCTGAGGAAAAGACTGGCAAAGTAAACCATGCTGTCCCTGCCGTGTGTTTTATCTCCCTGGGTTGATGTTTGTTCCGTACTACACTTAAGCTTGTGTCCGGAGCGGCCAGGCTGGTGGGTAGTTGTTTGATCATTAGTTCAGAGTCTTCATTTGGGGATAGCAGAGGAGCTTCAACTTGGTCTCGCCTCTAATGCCCCCCAGGGCTCCTTTTCAGGTGCAGTTAGGCTCACGCATGACTACAGTAAGCTACTCTTGCTGATGGATTCACTTAGCAGGATATTAGACAGGAAACGCAGCAAGCTACCAGGGCAACATTAGGCAGTTCTCCTCGCCCGAATCCTCACTGCAGTCTGAGAGCCGGTCTTACTGTGCCCTCAAGTGATGGTTTAGGTTGGAGAGAATGGAATCCATGCAGATGGGTGCCATAGCCAGCTTGGCTTAGAAGTCCATGCTGTATAAGCTCAGTATCTGTAACGGCAGTTACATGATACCTAGTTAGGGACGTGAACTACTGCATGAAGAGAACTCTAAAGTGTGGCTCCTACCACGTATGTATAGTTCATTCACACTCCTAGTGGCCCTGCTCCAGATGTAGTCCACTATTTGGAGTCATTTTTGTCGTCAGATGTTTTGTCTGGCAACTCAGGTGACATTTTGCCCTTATCAGAGTTCCAGGGGAACAGAGCTAGAAAGTGAATTCAAGAACAGATGTATCCTTAGAGAAGGGAGTTTGTTAACCTTTGTTCACATAGTCATAGCAACTGTTCTTATTGATCTGACGATTGAGACACTTATACGAAACTATCGCCAGTTTAAATGCCAAACAGAGACTCAGTGTCTTAGCAGTTATCTGGTCCATCTTCCCACCTGATGTAGAAATCCCTCCTGATTTCATCTTCGTAATACCTTGAATGTGGGTAACAATAATTGTAAGTGAGAAATGTAGCATTATTGGTTTGGTCACTGGAGATGCTTCAAGTAAACTCATTTGGTAATGACAATGACAACAACAATAACAAAGAGTATCCTGACATCATGCTTTTAATTCATATCTCCAGATATGAACCTGAAGATTAAAGTCTGAAGATGCCATCTGGAAGCTGCCACAACATGAACATAAATGTCTCTCACCTCAGGCATGTATTTCAAAGCATTCTGTCATATTCCCTCTCCTATTTTTCTAATATTTAGACTTTGCTTCTAATATTTAGAATTAGAATTTTTCTTTTCAGTTGTCTTAATTGAGAATAGAGAAAACCTGGTGATTCTGGCCAGTAGTCCTACACACCTGTCTGCCAAGTTCTCCAGCGTCCTAGTTGGAGGACGCTTAACAATAAAGAAGAGATTTTTAGAGTGGGAAGAAGAGTCTTATCCTTTTGCATTAGTATAAAGAATATATCTTTTTAGAAATGTTAAAGAAGCTTACAATGTCTGTACTTGTGTATTCCCCAAGGGTAAAAATAAATAATAATGTTATTAAAGAGAGTTAAAATATCTATCTTTTTTACTTTTAAAATTGAAATCTTACTATATCTGATTGTCAAAAATATGAATTCATTGGAAATGCAAATGCTGTCTACTAGGAGCAGCAATTTTGCCAATTATAGGAGAAATTAACAGTAGTGAATGTGAGGGTTCAGCTAACTTCTTTGGCTTTGCTATCTTACATGCTATTTATCAAAGGAGGTTCAGACATTTTTTGCAGCACAACTTGTCATGAATTTGTATTACTGATAGAGAAATCACATCCATCCTGTAGTGCTATAGTTTAGAAAGTATCTGGGCTCAGAATAAATGTAACCTTTATATTTGTTTCTAGAATATTCTTTTAAACTACTATACTATAAGGATAAATAAAATCAAGTCCATAAAGCAGTAATCCCTCAGAAGAAAAGTCCTTACTCTTTATACATTAATGTTTAGTAATTTTATCTACTTCCAAAAATAAGAGTGTCACACCCAAAATGAATACTGTCTACTGAGAGATGACATTCCACTCCCATCAATGAAGATTTTATTCCCAAAGAAGATTTTACTGACCCAAGCACAAGACTCACTATTATTTTTATGAAAGCTTTTTTTTTTTTTT